TATACAAAGAGATTAGCAAAATGAATAAGCGAAGTGTTGAGGAAGTTGAAGATGGAAGAGAAAAAAAAAAAAAAAAAACCTTCGGAAACCTCCAAAAGAAGACAAAACAAAACCTATATATGCATGACAAAATGCTAAACATTTTAAGTTCCATTTTTCCATTTTACTTTTAACTTTATCAGTTTTGAGCATATTTAATGTACTAAGGTGCAATTATCTACCCATAGATTGAAGCACCTTGGACCATGTCCCGCTTGCACCATTGAGTTGAGCTAGCTCAATGATGTAATACAATTATTGTGAATTCAACATTTTTAAAAAAAAACAAGAAAGAAAAAGAGAAACAAATGTTGTTGATTTCCCCCCCCCCCACATTTTTCAAAAAGTAAAATGGTGAAATAAATTATAATATACATTTTTTCATATTTGTCCCCCTTAAAAAAATAGAAATAAATATCATCGAATGAACTAAAAATTTTGCTATACAATAAAAAAAACAAGTTTGGCGTCCCTTGACAATGTTGTTGTGCTCCCTTAATTTGACGACGTCACCAACCAAATTGGAAGGGGAAATCACAATGATCCCAAAGAAAAAAAAACGAAATATGAGCAAAGGCAAATGATGTGGTTGCACATTCTACAACACTATCAAGAAAAATAAAAAATTAAAAAATAAACATTTTAAAATAAAATAAAATAAAATGTACAATGTTAATAAAAGGAACAACAAAATGAATGGAAAAATATGATATCTCAATTGTTTTTTTCTCAACATTTTCGAATAAACCAGCAAGCTAAATATTAACAAAAAAATAGGCGTTAGAGTCAAACCTACAATATTATTAAAGAGAGTCACAAATCAAATGCGAAGATGTGAGTCGGAAAAAGGCTAAAGAAAAAATGTAGAAAATTACAGCTTGGGGGTCTGACCAGGCTCAAAGGACATTGTGAGTAGGTTTGAAAATTTAGCTTAACGACTATGATTTTTTTTTTTTCTTCTCTTTGTTAATAATCCTTTGTTCACCACCTTCGTAGACAATTCGGTGGAGAGCATCTATTTGATTATAAACTTTGTTTTAGCTCGGATCATCAGTGGTGTGACCCTTTCATCCCTTCATACCGTGACCATCGCGTTCTTGAAGGTCCACATTGGTCATAAAATTGTTCCACGCAGACATTCTTTTGCGTAAGTGAGCGGTCTATTGCATTATTGACGACAGGCTACTGCTCCCAACATGATACAACCATCAGCCCAACGAGATTCTGGTTAAGGTAGAGACACTGATACAAAGTGCCACTAGTCTCTGAAGGGCCGAGATAATTCACAGTATAGGCAAAGATGTTGCAAATGTTCAATGCGAACCCCCGTATATAAGGCATAAAAAAATTGACATTGAATATTCTTCGGATGCAGCATTATGAAAGTGCAATCGGACTTGTCATATGTGTCACTAACCATAAAAAACTCGTGTGTTTTACCACTGACAGTTCCATGAGTAACTTTAAGTAAACCACTAATAGCAAAAGAGAAGAGACAAACCAAATCAGGATAATTGAACATACATATTGGCGACATGTCTGCAAGAGGCGAAAGGGAAGTCGGTACCTGTGAGGGGGTAAATGGCAGGCCAAATGAGGAGGTCATCGATGATGTTTCCCAATAGGACGCCTTCACATTTTATGGGTTGTTAAACGCCCAGTACGTCATGGTCTTAGGCCCCATGTGGGCCACCTCTTACGCAAATGTATATGGACCCGCGTGACACACCGATTCATCCACTGTGTTAAACCACCACTACCTTCGAGTCTGTTTTTGCCGAGCCTGATTTTCACTGTGCACCAAGTTTTGGCGAGCCTAGGGTCCATTTTGTTTTTTTCTGGTACAATCTGAAAAGAAAAAAAAAAGAACATGGATATACTTGATATGCTTGCAACCAAAAAAAAAAAGAGGAAAAAAACAAACATCCCTTTGGACGTGACACTATGTAGGTAGGTAGATACCTACCCCAAAGTTGTTGTGTGAGTATGCCCTGAGTGAGGGCATTATGATAGGAGTGTTAGGTCAACGGAATTAAAAAAAATAAAAAAAATAAAAAATTGAAATTGAACTTAGGGCGGAAAAGCGGGTTCATACATTCTACATAGTAGGAGAGGCTGTTAACGGAGAACCTAATTTTCAGACAACTTGTTATGCCATTTATAACAACATCCAAGGGTCATTTTAACCAAACTTGCCACCAAGTCATAGAGTAAATACTATATTTACTAATTGAAAAAAAAATTCCCCCCTCCCCCCCCCGCTTATAAAACAGCAAGGTAAAAGTGCACTTTCATGCAAATTTCGCTACACTGGCACAACAATGTTGAACCAAAACAAAAACAGGCAAAAAAAAAAAAAAAAAAAAACATTAAATTTGACCCCCAAACCCTAATTTCAATTTTGGACCTGTTAGTCAGGAGCTGAAACTGGGGGTCCCCGTTAAACCACGAGTACGTCTCCCTGCTTGAAGAATTCGACGCGGTCGTTAACGCGCCGCGTCTCGTGGGGTACCCACCGGCGTGCGACCGGTAGTCCCCAAAAAACGGGGCCCAAAAAAAAAAAAAAAAAAAAAAAAAACGACGACGAAAATAAAAAGTAATAGCCTAAAACAAACAGGTGCAGCGGGGCGGGGGAAGGGGGAGAAGAACAAGAGAGAGAGAGAGAGAGAGAGAGAGAGAGAGAGAGAACAAGAGAGAGAGAGAGAGAGAG